ATTAAAATGTATTACTGGCATGCGAAACCTTAAATTAAAGTGAATAAATGAAGACTTGGCAACCTTTTAGAAGTGGTGTGCCAACTCCTGTTCTAGACCATAGTTTCCTAATGAAAATGTCACGCGAGACGGCATCAAAAGCCTTATTAAAGACCTGGTATACCATGTCTACTGCTTCCCCCCATCCATTAGGCTGGTTACCCTGTCAAAGAAAGAAATTAAGTTGGTTTGGCATGATTTGTCCTTGACTTACTTACTTATCTCCCTCTTATCCTCTAGATGTTTACAAATTGACTGTTTAATAATTATGTCAGCTGGAAAGGGGAGTGCTCTTGTACTTGGAGCCAGAAGCCCCTGAGTGTGGGATGGTCTGAATGCAGTAAGAAATAACAGCACAAGGAGAAAACTATGGCAGGCAGAACAAGATTTTGGAGACCTGAATACAAATTAAAACATGCAGGATCCTACCTATTTCTATCCCACCTATGACCAGGTTTGCCCTGCCACCGTGTACTCAGAACCCCAACTTGCGGCTGTGTCCTGCTCTCTTTGTGACCGTCCATGGTCTCTGATGTCTGTCATGCCTCTCAATATGGACATCTGACTGAGGAAGAAGGCAGCAGCAGAAAAGTAACTTCATGGGCATGAACCAAGAGATGAGTTGGGTGTGTTTATGTGGAGCTCCAAAGTATGAAAGGATTTATGATACTGTATAGGTAACATAGAACTAAGGCCACAAGAATGATGATGCCTTGACAATCAGGGAATTGGGGCAAAGGTCCACCCAGCAAGCCATAGTGACCTGGTGAGTTTGTGCTGAAGCATGTGGAAGAACAAATGCTGTAGGCTTTGGTTCATGAAACATCAACATTGCATCTTTATCCCACAGTCATCCCATGAGTCATTCTCTTTGTGGATGGGTTGCTCTCAAAATCCTCCCGGTGCTCAGGACTGCTTCTCAGTGCCCACAGATACTTCTTATTAAGCTTCCTGGAGCTTCAGTACATCCTGGGTCCTTTCTTTTCATCCTCTCCCATGATATGAGAACAAGGCATTCAGAGGTATGTATGTGAACTGAGAGAACAAAGAGAAGGCTTCTTCCCAGGATGTACAAAGTCATTAATCTGTGGGATTTACGGCCACAGGAGAACACAGAGAAAAATACAGTGGCTGTAGTTTTAAAAGGCTTGGATAATTTTATGGCCAAATTTATGATGTATTTTCAGTTTTACAATGTAAGAAACAAATTCTCCACCACTGAAATCAAGTGGAGTTTTTGACATTGACTCTTAGTTGTAGGGATCTGGCAGGAATTCTCACCTCACCACAGTGTACACAAGTGCATTATGAGATTTTTGTTTCGCCTCCTCTGAACCATCAGCTGTTGCTGACAAATAAAGAGAAGCTACTCTGATCTCTGGTATGACAAATCTGATATCCCTACAGTATGTTTGGGCCTTCTACTAGTGTGTGCATTTACCACATAGTCTCCCATTTGTAACAGGGAAATGGGTCCTTTCTCTTACTTGCATTAAAGAAAATCTGTGTCAGTAGCAAATATTTAACCAAACTCTTTGGTCTGAGCTGACTAAACGGGGAATTATTATTTGATCAGCATATTTTCACATTCAATGCAGCTGAAGAGTCTGTGTGTGTTTTGATGGGGTAAATTTCCTCCCAAGAATGAAGGAATTCAGTGCCTTCTGTATCCAGAGTCTCTGGAAGTTTATTCTGAATTGTAAATGGTGACCCATTCTTTTTCACTTGCCATGTGCTTTTTAATAAACAATTCATGATATAATAGGCCGACAGCCTCATGCACAAAAATATCTATTTTAATCTCAGTCTGTCAAGGTTCCTCCCCCACTCTGAACTCTAGGGTACAGATGTGGGGACCTGCATGAAAAAACCTCCTAAGCTTATCTTTACCAGCTTAGGTCAAAACTTCCCCAAGGTACAAAATATTCCCCCCGTTGTCCTTGGACTGGCCGCTACCACCACCAAACTAATACTGGTTACTGGGGAAGAGCTGTTTGGACGCGTCTTTCCCCCCAAAATACTTCCCAAAACCCTGCACCAGGTTTGGTAAAAAGCCTCACCAATTTGCCTAGGTGACTACAGACCCAGACCCTTGGATCTTAAGAACAATGAACAATCCTCCCAACACTTGCACCCCCCCTTTCCTGGGAAATGTTGGATAAAAAGCCTCACCAATTTGCATAGGTGACCACAGACCCAAACCCTTGGATCTGAGAACAATGAAAAAGCATTCAGTTTTTTACAAGAAGACTTTTAATAAAAAATAGAAGTAAATAGAAATAAAGAAATCCCCCCTGTAAAATCAGGATGGTAGATATCTTACAGGGTAATTAGATTCAAAAACATAGAGAACCCCTCTAGGCAAAACCTTAAGTTACAAAAAAGATACATAGACAGAAATAGTTATTCTATTCAGCACAATTATTTTCTCAGCCATTTAAAGAAATCATAATCTAACACATACCTAGCTAGATTACTTACTAAAAGTTCTAAGACTCCATTCCTGTTCTGTCCCTGGCAAAAGCAGCATACAGACAGACACAGACCCTTTGTTTCTCTCCCTCCTCCCAGCTTTTGAAAGTATCTTGTCTCCTCATTGGTCATTTTGGTCAGGTGCCAGCGAGGTTACCTTTAGCTTCTTAACCCTTTACAGGTGAGAGGAGCTTTCCCCTGGCCAGGAGGGATTTCAAAGGGGTTTACCCTTCCCTTTATATTTATGACACAGTCAATTATAATTGCTGTATAGAATGATTAATAGCTGAGGCTGAAAGTATCCTGCAATAAGGAAAGGGTAAATTGAAGGATGAAACAGAATAATTATGGATATGTAAACTTGCCTGGCCAGAAGGCTGACTCTGTAAACACTTACAGAGATTGTGTTTCTTAGCTTTAAATATTATTAAAGTTTAAAGGAGCATTTCATTGGGGTCTAGTCTCAATCACTTCAGCGTAATTAGCTTTCTTTGAAGATGACCTGCATAGATAGCTCACAGTTTCACCACTTATGAGTTATGCAATGCAGCCACCCCAGATGTATTGGTATCTGATTAGATATGGACCTCAGACACTATCAGTTCTGATTCTGAATTTCCCCAGCATTTGATGGTGATTTAATTCACTGCACAGGTTCTCTCCCCTGTCTCATCTATCCGGCTCTGAGCCTGTCCTTTTCCCATTGCAGTCTATGGCAAAACTCCCATTGACTTTACTGGGGCAGGATCAGTCCCCCTCTGCTCTCTCTGATCATGTGTTCTGTTCGTTTTTAAACTGGTTGGGCTGGAACATGCCACTAACCCCATTTATTTTTTAATAAGTTCATGTGGAAGCATCACTTTGCCAATGCCTAGCAACAGGTGCATTGCTTCTCGTCCCCACACCACTGCAACTTAAGACAGCAACAATTGTCTTGAGAACTGCAGTAGGAAATCGCAAAGACTCCAAATAATCTCTGTATCAGAGTCTCTCTGCTTAATAAAACTCACCCCACTGCATCGCCCAGATGGGAACTTCCACATGTCTGGTTATGCATACCAATTGCAAACACTATACTAATAACGTTGGCACATCCGTTTTCATTTTCCATGAATGACTCTTAATACATTCTCCTTCAAACCATGTTCAGGGATTTCCTTTAGTCTGCGCCCTCAGACGCAACTTCTAGTCATTAAAATGGTAATTGGAATGTCTGCCATTAGTTTTCATTCTTTCTAGTGCTGTAACTTCACCCTTCTGAGTCCTATATAACCTCAAGCCTTTGATCTGGGGTTCATGCTCAGCCCCTGGATAATGGCCCCAGAATAAAATTGATTCACTTATTTTTAAAATGTTCATTCTTGCAATTTTAAGAAGTTGTGTCATCCATACTTTGTTTTCTGGCATTAGGGACCAGTCTGACTGGGATTTTTTTTGAGGTATATCCCCACCCCACCTTCTCCATCCCATACATGGGAGTACGTACACACACACACACACAAAATACCTAGAACCCACAGGTCCTAGAGAACACTTTATTCTATTAATTTAGTCTTCTATTCTATTTAAAGTAGATTCCTAAGGAGACTGTGATTTCACTGAATAAATTTGTTGTCTGATATTTTTTTACAAGTATCTTTTTTCCCCTCTACAGAATGGTCACATCAGTTCTAAATTCAAACTGTGTGGCTTGGTGGGTCAGATAAATCATGTTGTGCCTGTCAGATGGTGCTGGTTTTTTAAGGGAAGCTCCATGCCTGGCATGGCCCAGTCTTGGTTAAGTGCAGCTCAAGGGTATTCTAGGCATTCAAGGGATGTAGTTGGGTCGGGGGGCAGGTGATGCGAGTTGTAGTCTTGGGAGCAGTGCATGCTGGGAGAAGGGATATAAAAGAGCTGTCTTTTTGGCTATACTACAAGGGGTCAGGCTGACAGTAATGGGTTTTTAATTGAGAGGCCTTGAAGCGTGAGGCTGGAATGGAATGCCCAGGAGTTGGGAGGAAGGATCAAGGAGAAAGAAGCTTGGGGAGGGCCAATGGTTCTGAATAGTAAAAGACTCCTTGTGAGCTCTGCATTGAGCAATGACAATTTAGACCGATGCTAAAACCAGGAAAGGAAATGGTGTGGGATTATTGCTGTGTAAATAAGAGGCACCTGGTTTTGGTTTTGGTTTGCTAGCAATTCTGAAAAATGGGGAAAAAAAAGTCTGGGGGTTGAACTGAAAATGAATATTTGTTATATCTTTGGTGTATTGAAAAGTCCAAAAATTGTTTTGCTTAGATGAAATGTTTTGACTTTGACCATATTTAATGTTTTGGGTTGTTTTTTTTAAAAATAAAATTAAAAGAAACTTTCAAATGAAACACTGTTTTGACAATGTCAAAATTAAATGTTTTGAGGGTGGGGTTTTTTGTGTGTGTGTGGTTTGTTTGGGTTTTTTTACTGAAACAATTTGATAAATGGACATGAATTTATGCATCTGGTTTTTGCAGAAAATGTTGGCCAAAAAATTTCTCCCAGCTCTATTTGGGATAAGAAGAGCGGTGTAGCACTGAAGCTTGGTACCTGCATCTGTTTCTGTTGAGGAATCCCAGGCTGATGCTCCCATAGAAGGAAGGAGGAATTCTCTTCTTTTTCCCTGCATTGAGTGGAGAAGACAAGGTCGGAGGACCCTGGGCAAGAGACTGTTCAGCTTGGGAGGATGAAGAACAACTGAGATCTGTACTGACACATGAAACCCCGCAGGTGAAGAATGGTGGTAGGATTTATTTATTTCTTTTTGACAGGTTTCAGAGTAGCAGCTGTGTTAGTCTGTATTCGCAAAAAGAAAAGGAATACTTGTGGCACTTTAGAGACTAACCAATTTATTTGAGCATAAGCTTTCGTGAGCTACAGCTCACTTCATCGGATGCAGCCGATGAAGTGAACTGTAGCTCACGAAAGCTTATGCTCAAATAAATTGGTTAGTCTCTAAGGTGCCACAAGTCCTCCTTTTCTTATTTCTTTTTGTTTGTTTAGGATTGTTTTGCACTCTTTGTTCCATTGGGAGAGATGGGCTCTTATGTTTGCCTGGGGGGCTAAATTAAGGGACTCTACCGGGAGAGTGGGGAACTGCATTGTCTACCTGCTAAAAGGAGACAGTCATCAGGAGGGAAACTGAGGCCCAGAAGAGGGTAACCAAGGCGTGGCTGTGATTGGGAGAGGTAAGCTGACCCTGTTACAGTGTCCTAATTGGATGAGCTTGAAAGTACTTTCCTTCTGCAGTGAATACTGACGTCCACTTCAAAACTTGTTTTTGTGTGAACATTTTTGTTAGTAAACTGGGTGGCTGAAGAGAATTCATTAAAAATTCAAATATTATGGAACACTTAAAATTTCACCCGCTTCTAAAAACAACCTGTTTCACAAGTTGAAAATCATCTGCTTTCCCATTTGCAATTTCACAGACCACCTTCCTTCCAATTCCCAGTCATTTAATGTCCCAGTGGCACTTACAGCAGGAGTTTGCCTGGAAAATTAATATTGGGGGGAGTGGGAACACTTTACACATTTAATTGCTTTTAATGTGATCTAGCAGCTATAGATGAGGTGGAGACACACCCTGTGGTCCACAGACAGCTGTGTGATCACCAGCATGTCACCATTGGTCTACAGATCAGTTTGGGAATCTCTGTCCTGGAACTGCTGAGAGCAAAGACTGATTAAACATTTAGGATGCAGAGTGCAGGATGGAGCAACTGGATTCCCTGTTCTACAACATTTCAAAATCTTTTTTGAAAACAAGTGCAGCTCATTCATTTACAGATAGGAACAATTACTCCAGCAGAAGCTTGCCCACTACAATATGAGAAATTTTTAATTTCCCCTTTGAACAATAACAATACTAAAGTGGTAAAAAATGAGATAAAAGATGAGGGAGAGGGAAGGGAACTGCCAAAAAGAAAATATGTTGAGGAGAGGGGAAACTGATGAACTAGATTCTTTTAAGCAAGCATCCTAAATTACTTAGTTGTGAGCAATGGTACTTTGAACAGACAGGATAACACAAGAAGAAAATCTAGGGTAGAGTGGATGTAGAAAAAGGAGAAAAGAAAGTTTTCTCTTCTAAGAAGGTAGGTTTAGTGGATAAGCCACAGGAACTGTGGAGGAAGCCATAATAATAATGCTTTGCCTTATCTAGGATTTCAAACAAATGATGTAGGCAGAATGGGTAAGGCACAGAAGTGGAGCTCTGTAGAGCTGGGATCTCTTCCTCGCTCTGTCACAGTTTTCCTGTGTGACTGTGGGCAAGTCACCTAAGCTTTTTGTGCTTCAGTTCTCCATCTGTAGAAGGGGACAACAATATTTTGCTGTATCAAAGGGGATTGTGAGCATACGTTAGCTAATGTATGCAAGGTGCCCAGATACTAAATTGATGGGAGCGAGAGGAAAAAGTCTAAATTCACAACACTGATGTAGGTGAGTTATCCTAAGTGCTTTACACATAGGTTCACTGACTCACCAGAGGCCTCCTGGTGTTGTAGCCTGGTTGCTGCTAAGCACTTACAACTGCTTACTTGGACTGTAAGCTCATCGAAGTAGCTCTGTCTCTTACCTTTGTACAGTGTCTAGCAGAAAGGGGCCCAAGCCGCTGGGGCCTCTAGGAGCTAATGGACTACGATGTCATCTCACAATCAAGCCTGAATGAACAAGTGACAGAGTCAGAGAGAACCCAGGGAGTAGGGTTGCCAGGTATCTGGTTTTCGACCGGAACGCCCCTATCAAAAAGGGACCCTGCCGGCTCTGGTCAGCACTGCTGACCGGGCCATTAAAAGTCTGGCCAGCCATTAAAAGTGCAGTGGGACAAAGGCTTCCTGCCTGCCCTGGCTCTGCTGGGCTCCCGGAAGCAGCGGCATGTCCTCCCTCTGGTGCCTACGTGTAAGGGCAGCCAGGGAGCTCTGCATGCTGCCCCCGCCCCAAGCATCGGCTCTGTAGCTCCCATTGGCCAGGAACCATGGCCAATGGGAGCTGCAGGGGCAGCACCTGTGGACAGGGCAGGATGCAGAGCTGCCTGGCTGTGCCGCTGCGTAGGAGCTGGAGTGGGGGACATGCTGCTGCTTCCAGGAGCTGCTTGAGTTAAGCACCACTTGGAGCCTGCACCCCTGAATCCCCCCATCCCTTACCCAGCCCCGATTTCCCCCTCCCGCTCTCCAAACCCCTCAATCCCAGCCCAGAGCTCCCTACTACACCCCAAACCTCTCATCCCCAGCCCCACCCCAGAGCCTGCACGCCAAGCCCCTTCCCCAGCCTGGAGCCCCCTCCTGCACCCATAACCCCTCATTTCTGGCCCCAGCCTGGAGCCCCCTCCTGCACCCATAACCCCTCATTTCTGGCCCCAGCCCAGAACCCGCACTTCCAGCCCAGAGCCTGGACCCCCCTGCCACACCCCAACCCCCTGCCTCAGCCCAGAGCCCCGTCCCATACTCTGAATCCCTTGGCTCCATCCCCCAGCCCAGTGCCCCCTCCTGAACCCCAAACCCCTCATCCCTGGCCCCAGCCCAGAGCCCACACCCCCAGCCAGAACCTTCACCCCCTGCACTCCAACCCACAGCCCCAGCCCAGAGCCCCCTCCCTTACCCTGAACCTCACATTTCTGGCCCCACCCAGAACCCGCATCCCCAGCCCAGAGCCCTTACCCCTCCCACATCCCCCAACCCTCTGCCTCAGTCCTGTGAAAATGAGCGAGTGAGTGAGGCTGAGGAGAGCAAGCGACAGAGGGAGGGGGGATGGAGGAGCTGGGGGGGGCCTTGGATAAGGGATGGGGCAAGGGTCTTTGGTTTTGTGTGAGTAGAAAGTTGTCAGCCTCACCCAGGAGACCTGACTCAGTCCCCTCTTCTAAGTGGGCAGTACTCTGTCTCTATTAAGCTCTGATTCACATTAGTGTAAAACTAATAACAAATAGCATTAAACAGCTCCTGTGGGCCGTTCTCAGTTGTGAAAGTGAAATGTAGCTGTAGGATTCCAGCATAGTCATTTTGCATTACCTCATCCCAGCTGGATGACCATAGGTGGCAATCCATCTCTCAGAAGGATGTTCAGTGTTCCTCTGGGAATCTGCCACTGTCCCAGGGCAGGGGGCTCACTTCTGCCTTGGGTGGTTAAACATCTGTTAGCAAAGCAAGAATTTTACCTGGTCTACACTAGGACTTTAGGTCGAATTTAGCAGCGTTAAATCGATGTAAACCTGCACCCGTCCACACAATGAAGCCCTTTATTTCGACTTAAAGGGCTCTTAAAATCGATTTCCTTACTCCACCCCTGACAAGTGGATTAGCGCTTAAATCGACGTTGCCGGCTCAAATTTGGGGTACTGTGGACACAATTCGATGGTATTGGCCTCCGGGAGCTATCCCAGAGTGCTCCATTGTGACCGCTCTGGACAGCACTCTCAACTCAGATGCACTGGCCAGGTAGACAGGAAAAGAACCGCGAACTTTTGAATCTCATTTCCTGTTTGGCCAGCGTGGCAAGCTGCAGGTGACCATGCAGAGCTCATCAGCACAGGTGACCATGATGGAGTCCCAGAATCGCAAAAGAGCTCCAGCATGGACCGAACGGGAGGTACGGGATCTGATCGCTGTTTGGGGAGAGGAATCCGTGCTATCAGAACTCCGTTCCAGTTTTCGAAATGCCAAAACCTTTGTCAAAATCTCCCAGGGCATGAAGGACAGAGGCCATAACAGGGACCCGAAGCAGTGCGCGTGAAACTGAAGGAGCTGAGACAAGCCTACCAGAAAACCAGAGAGGCGAACGGCCACTCCGGGTCAGAGCCCCAAACATGCCACTTCTCTGATGAGCTGCATGCCATTTTAGGGGGTTCAGCCACCACTACCCCAGCCGTGTTGTTTGACTCCTTCAATGGAGATGGAGGCAATACGGAAGCAGGTTTTGGGGACGAAGAAGATGATGATGATGATGAGGTTGTAGATAGCTCACAGCAAGCAAGCGGAGAAACCGGTTTTCCCGACAGCCAGGAACTGTTTCTCACCCTGGACCTGGAGCCAGTATCCCCCGAACCCACCCAAGGCTGCCTCCTGGACCCAGCAGGCGGAGAAGGGACCTCTGGTGAGTGTACCTTTTAAAATACTATACATGGTTTAAAAGCAAGCATGTGAAAGGATTACTTTGCCCTGGCATTCGCGGTTCTCCTAGATGTAGTCCTAAAGCCTTTGCAAAAGGTTTCTGGGGAGGGCAGCCTTATTGCGTCCTTCATAGTAGGACACTTTACCACTCCAGGCCAGTAACACGTACTCGGGAATCATTGTAGAACAAAGCATTGCAGTGTATGTTTGCTGGCATTCAAACAACATCCGTTCTTTATCTCTCTGTGTTATCCTCAGGAGAGTGAGATATAATTCATGGTCACCTGGTTGAAATAGAGTGGTTTTCTTCAGGGGACACTCAGAGGAGCCCATTCCTGCTGGGCTGTTTGCCTGTGGCTAAACAGAAATGTTCCCCGCTGTTAGCCACAGGGAGGGGGGAAGGTTGAGGGGGTAGTCACGCAGTGGGAGGAGGCAAAATGCAACCTTGTAACAAAAGCACATGTGCTATGTATGTAATGTTAACAGCAAGGTTTACCCTGAAAGAGTGTAGCCACTGTTTTATAAAATGTGTCTTTTTAAATACCGCTGTCCCTTTTTTTTTCTCCACCAGCTGCATGTGTTTCAATGATCACAGGATCTTCTCCTTCCCAGAGGCTA